GAGAGAGAGAGAGAGAGAGAGAGAGAGAGAGAGAGAGAGAGAGAGAGAGAGAGAGAGAAAGGGGGAAAGAGAAATGCGGGAAAAAAATGGAGTTTTATAGAAAAGTTGCTTAAAGTGTGCAGGAATACGTGCGTGAGAGAACCCGGGAGGGATGTTGGTGGTGGTGACTTCGTCGACCTCGCAGCGGAGCGCGACATGATTTTCGCTGGGAAAAGGACAGAGTTAAACGACTGGGATGCGTCCTAAGGTACGTTCATGTCATCGCGCCTCATATTTTATAAAGCCGTGATACGGCGAAGAAACAGAACAAGAAAAACAAAAGAAAAACAAAAAAATTCATTAAAACTTATTAAAAGAATTTATCAATTGTTTTAAAAAAAAAAAATACTTGCAAAATATATTCCTCAGGTAATTTCATATTTACAGAAGATTATTCTCAGAAAAAAGTCACCGAGTAAAACGCTATCATGCTATCAATTGGCTTAACTCGTATGCGGAAACTTAATTCCAATTCTAATCACGATTTAATTACAGAGAAAGCGGCATTTCGCTTGTTTGCGAATTTCAGTCTTATCGATTCAAATCGTATCGATTCAACGTCCGGTAAGACGTTATTGTAGAAAAGACCATTGGTACCGATCTTGGTCCTCTTCGGGGGAAGCACGATCGCTATCCGAAACGTAATAGCAAATCATCGGGGCGCTCGGCTCTCGACGTACGACGTGTATGAAAGAACGAGGAAGCTTCTAGCATACGAAGGTCGATCGATTGGAATGCTGCATTGTGATTATAGCGTCTCTATCGCGCTCACCGGGATATTGTGCCGTGATATAAAACCGATATCGCGCGCGAGCGTGCGCAACACGCTCTGCCTGTTCGTTCGTTTCACGATTGTTGCTGTTCGATTACAGGAAGCCGGGAGACCTGTGACACCGAGGGGGAAGACATCACCGACATCGATAAGATCTTGAACACGAGCTGCTTCCGCTGCATTTGCAAGGTAAACCGCACGTATCCGAACACCGCTAATCGACGTTCAGGCGCCGCGGGAAATTACAATTGAATGAATTAACGTGATAATAAGATAGGATAAATCTTTACTTGCGAGGAAACTTAAATGGAAAGAGATTGTATTCCGGGTATTTAATCGTTGAAGATATAATAATCTGCATAAATCTGCAAATCAGATCGCGTTATAGGAAAGCTTAAAATTTCGGATACGAGAATCTATAAGATTCTTTCATGAACGATCGATTCCGAATTTAACGGTAGACATTGGAGAAACGTTTCACATATCACATAACATTGTAACACAAGATAAAACATCTCGATGAAAAGAAGAAGAATGCGAACACAATAAAGAAGTAGCAGGCGAGCGAGACACGTATGTATCGAGTGATCTGCCGACGAGGCACAGTTCGGGAAAAAGTTCGCCTCGTCGTCTCCTAGAGATACGGCGGCTTCTCTTCCGAGACAGCGGGGAGGGGGAGGAGGGGGAGGAGGGGAGAAGAAAATCGCGAGGGAGGCCGAGGGAGAGAGAGAGAAGGGGAGCAGCGCGACCGTTTTCATAGTCCAGTTCGCGGATCGGTGTCGTTATCGGACGACGAGGCAACGCCGTGTGGTGGACGGAACGGCTAAAGAGGTTAAAGTAGCCTGGCCTGATTCGGGAGGTCAAAGAGAGAGGAATTTCCACATCGATCCGTTCGACGCTCGATCGGCTCGCATTTGCACGCGCGCATACACGCGCATACGCGTCCCGCGTCCGTTCGATCGTCGCATTTGCTCGCGCGCTCGTCCGCTCTTATGACGCGCCGCGTAGCCTCGATGCATCTCTCCCGACGCACCGACCGCATCGCGAGTGATCTTAAGCGCGACCGCGGCGATTTATCTGCGCGTTTGGTTCATTGACTCGTCGACTCGTAGCCGACCGAGATGAGACTTCTTGTTTTCGCTCAGTTGCTACCACCGCCGCCGCCGCCACCGCCGCCGCCGCCGTTGTTGTTGCTGTTGCTGTTGCTGCCGCTGCCACTGCTTGTGTAACGAGCGGCGGCGTGCTGGCGGCGGCGTGTGACATAATTATTTGTTTGTTGCGCCGAAGCGGTCGACCGCGATCAATCACTCGCGATTTATGAGACGCAATCAGAAGTCGGCCGAGCAAACGAACGTTTTGCTGGCTACGGATGAAACGTTCGCGCGTTTATTTATTTACGTTTTCCTATCGCGAAGAACTTGTTTAATCAGCCCGTTTGTTTTGTTTTTGTTTATAAATTACTTAATTTTTTATTGCGCCACGGTATACTTATTTTCATCTCTGAAATATTTTTATTACACCTCTAGTGAAAGTAAAACTCGCAATGATTAACATTTGATATGGAAAGATACAACAAACACGTGTGAGTACAGCAATGTGCAATTATAAGAAATGTTTATGAAAGAACATAATAATGAGGTAAAAATCAACTTTATGCATGAATAGATATGTGAATTTTTAAAGAATATTAGATTCTTTTCTATTTTATTGAATTTTATTATCTTTTCTAAGTCCATATTCACAATCGTTTTACTACATTGTTTGTTTCTACGTTCCACATTTATTACGGAAATAATTAATTAATTTTCGAACGTACAGTGTATAAAAATGTCTGTTTTAGACGAGGAAACTTAAAAAAATGGAGGTCTTTTGCGGCATGTCTAATAGATCCGTCTTGTATGTCTCGTATGTGACCATCCGATCCACGTTAAATTAGTTTACGTAATTCTGTCAGAAGATAAATCCGTAAAGACTTAATTATAGAACCCGATAACGAAACCGGAGAAATAATTACTGGAACGCGATAACGCGGACGTGAAATCGGAACAAGAGCGATAAAAAAAAATCAAGCCGGAATTTCGCTGTCGCCGCTGGCTCGCGGCGTCATTCAATCGCCGACTAAAATCCCGATTCATAATTTTTAGTATCCACATTCTTCTCTCGCGATACTCATACGCGTCGCGATTTCCGTAGCAAAAAATGATGAAACTACCTCTCTTCGAGACGTCGCGAGTAATTGATAATTTTAATAAGTCATCATCTTTGAATCTATCACCCTATCTATCACCCTATGGATAGTGCGACGGATTATATTCCAAGAGCATATAATAAATTATATTCGCGGGGAGATATTCTTTTCCCTTATATAAGATTCTTAATGCATAACTTTCCTCTCGTTTATAATAGAGTGTCTCGGAAATTAACATTCTTCCCGAGGCGAATAAAAAGCTGATAGAAAGTGCGCGACTTTTGAATCACTCTGTGTACTCCATTCATACACAAGAGAGAAAAAAAAAAATATAAAAATTTTCTCCTCGTTTCCTTTCAGAATGGATTCGTGGAGTGTTTGAAGCAACAGTGCCCCGACATCGAAGGTTGCTACGCGTTGCTGGATCCGCGTGATGACGAGTGCTGCCATGAATGCACAGGTAGGATGCTTGTCCGTCCACTAATTCTTCTAATTATCCTAATTATTCTAATTGGCTCAAACTTGCTCGTACTGCGACTGGGATGAGCGCGCGCGCGCGTGAGAGAGAGAGAGAAGAGAGAGAGAGAGAGAGAGAG